TTTGACAGAGAGAGACACAGCGAGAGAGGGAACACAAGCAGGGGGAGCGGGAGAGGGAGAAGCAGGCTTCCCGCTGAGCAGGGAGCCCGACGCGGGGCTCGATCCCAGGACCCTGGGATCACGACCCGAGCCGAAGGCAGACACTTAACGACTGAGCCACCCAGGCGCCCCTACTTACATTTTCATTAACACTCTCTCAGGGAAATGCTGATCCAGATCAATGCTCACTTTTCACATGGATGAATTGCAGCCCAGAAGTGCACAGATTGCCCAAACTCAAGAACAGAGTGTGTGTAAGAACTGGAAAAGGCCCTAGCAACATACCCCCACCCAAAAGAGGCTCTGTGGGCTCTCCCACCACCCTGCACCCTCTTTCCCTCCATCCCAGCCATGTGCCCCCTTGAGCACAGCAATATGGAGCGGGTCAATAGGACAGAGATCTCTGAGTTCTTTCTGAAAGGATTTTCTGGTTACCCAGCCCTGGAGCACCTGCTCTTCCCTCTGTGCTCAACCATGTACCTGGTGACCCTGCTGGGGAACACAGCCATCGTGGCAGTGAGTGTCCTGGACGTCCGCCTGCACACGCCCATGTACTTCTTCCTGGGCAACCTCTCTATCCTGGACACCTGCTACACGTCTACCTTTGTGCCTCTGATGCTGGTCCACCTCCTGTCAGCCCAGAAGACTATCTCCTTTACTGGCTGCGCAATCCAGATGTGTCTGAGCCTCTCCACAGGCTCCACAGAGTGTCTGCTTCTTGCCATCATGGCCTATGATCGCTACCTGGCCATTTGCCGGCCACTCAGGTACCCCGTGCTCATGAGCCCCCGGCTCTGCTTGTCGTTGGTGGGAACCGCTTGGGTCCTCTGTCTCTTCAAGTCAGTGACTGAGACAGTCATTGCCATGAGGCTGTCCTTCTGCGGCCACAATGTGGTTAGTCACTTCACCTGTGAGATCCTGGCAGTGCTGAAGCTGGCATTCAGTGACACCTCTGTCAGTGAAGTCTTCCTGCTGGTGGGGGCCATCCTGCTGCTGCCTATACCCTGGCATTCGTCTGCCTGTCCTACACACTTATCCTGGCCACCGTCCTGAGAGTGCCCTCAGCTGCCGGACGCCGCAAAGCCTTCTCCACCTGCTCAGCGCACCTGGCTGTGGTGATGCTTTTCTACGGCACCGTCATATTCATGTACCTGAAACCCAAGAGCAAGGAGGCCCGCATCTCTGATGAGGTCTTCACGGTCCTCTATGCCGTGGTCACGCCCATGCTGAACCCTGTCATCTATAGCTTGAGGAACAAGGAGGTGAGGGAGGCTGCCAAGAAAGTGTGGGGTAGGAGTTGGACGTCCCAGTGAGGGAGGCCTGGGATCTTCAGATTAGTAGGTGAGGCCTTCATAGGCCTACAGTGAGGACAGGTGGGGTGCAGGGCTGAGTCTGGAATCTTCATCCCAGAAAGGCAGCACCGAGTCCCACTGATGCTGCACCAGAATTGCTCACAAAGCACCCTCAGCTCCTTCCCTGGCATCACCCTGGCCGGCTCTCCACATCACTTCCTGTACCTTCACGCCAGCTCCTGGCTGGCCTCAAGACCGCACTCCTAGGGGTCCTTCCACTCTATCCTCCCTGGGGCATCCAGAGGGACCTCTGTGAAAGGCAAATGTGATCACATCCTCTCCTGATTGAAGCCCCCAAAAAGCTCCCCCTACTCTCAGGACAAAGTGTAAGCTCCTCCGTGGGGCATTCTAGGCCTTCACAAGCTGGCCCTGCTGGTCCTGACTAACCCCCAACCTTCTGCCCCACATTCTCCCACCTGACCAGCCAGGTGTGAGCCCCAGTGTTGCCCAGCCCTGCCCAGCTCTGTGCTTCCCACGAGGCAGCCACACCCAACACACACCTCCAGGATGGCCGGACGCTCGAGGCCCAGCTCAAATGCCACCTCCCCCAGGAAGCCTCCTCACTGAGCTCCTCCTGTTTTATTCTCAGTGTTACTGTAAAAGCAGGGATGGTCAGAATCTACTCTGTCCCAAGGTCCAGCCCTGCCCAACCGTAGGCCCCCCATAGGTTTTGTAAATAAATACATGAACACAACAGTGTAGGGGAGATGGTGGCAGAGCCTGGCGTCCTTCCTGAACCTGAGCAGAGCGGAGACAGAGTTCAAAGATGACAGGCATGGCCTGGTGCCCTGGAAGGTGACAGTAGAGGCAGTGATGAGGCCCAGAGTCCATGATCCCCAGAGTAGTCCAGCCACGGGGGTACCAGTCACGCTGAGCAGCCCAGGACCTGTGTTCCCAACATCGGTCTTGAGCAGGAACAGCAGCTGTTGCCATGCCTCCCAGCCCAGCATCCAGGCCTCACCTCGCTTTGGGGAGACTTGCTTTACCCTTCCGTACCTCATCACAGGGATCCTGCCAGAGCTGCCCCTTCCTGGTGCTCAGCCTCTTCCCAGCTTTCCTTTCTGACAACTCAGCGAGCACGCAGTAGAAACGGATGCAGATTCACAGAGTAACTCCTTCCCTGCCCGCCCCCACCCTGCCTCAGTTGCACCATCTATATGATGGGGACACGGGCCTTGGCCTCCAAGAAGCAGTCCAGCTCTCCTGCCCTCTGTCACGGGGAAGCCCAGTCCTTGACAGGACCCTCAGTTCCGCTCCAGTCCCTCTTTCTGCTTCCCATGTTGGTAGGAGAGAAGCCCAGCCTGCCCCCTGAAGCTCTACCCTCTCTGACCAAGCCACACTGAAGCCTACCCACCAAGATGTCCAGCTTTGAGGCCACGACAGGAGTTTGGACGTTATCATGTGGGCACTGGGGTTTACAATCACATTTACTTTTTTTTTTAAAGATTTTATTTATTTATTTGACAGAGAGACACAGCAAGAGAGGGAACACAAGCAGGGGGAGTGGGAGAGGGAGAAGCAGGCTTCCCGCAGAGCAGGGAGCCAGACGTGGGGCTCGATCCCAGGACCCTGGGATCATGACCTGAGCCGAAGGCAGACGCTTAACGACTGAGCCACCCAGGCGCCCCAATCACATTTACTTTTAAATAGCTCACTGATTAGATACCATTTTCCACCCATGAAATTGGTGAAGAATTTTTTAAATTTCTGTTGGTAATGAAGGTGCAGTGAAGAAGTAATGCCCTACGCTGCTGGTGGGGATGGCAATAAGTTAATATAAACTTCCTGAAAAGTCAGTTGGAAGTATGATCCAAAAGACTTTAAAAATTGCTAGACTCTATGACCTAAGCCATCTACTTCTAAGAATTAGTCTAATATGATCATTAGAAGCATAAAGATTTATGAACAAGGATATGTATGAGGACATCAATCATAGCATTATTTATAGTAACAAAAAGTTGTAAGAATCTTACCATCCAATCATAGAAGAATGTCCAAATAAATACTGGTGGTGTCCAATGATAGAATGTGATACAGCCTTCAAAAAATTCTTATTTTCTGAAGAATATTTGATAATGAGAAATGCTCACAATGTAATTAATAGAAAATGATCCCAATGTTATTTTTTAAAGTATTTTTGTTATGGATTTATGAGTTAGTATATATGCAAAAAATCCTGGGAAACCAGGACAAAATATTAAGGGTTGTTTCCACTGGGGGGTGGGGTTAAATAGGATTGATCGGTTAGAGCCAATTGTTTTCTTTTTTAAGTAATGCCAATATTTCCAATATTTATATAATATGAACATGACTTTGAACTTAAAAGTCATGTTCTAATTTTGAATTTAAAAATAAGGTGATACATTTTTAAGAAATGCAAGATCACCTGGTTCCAGAATAGAGCACTGATGAGAAGGCCTCCAGCCCGAGAGGCAGGAAGTGAGGAAGCTGCTGCCCTATTCCAGGCTCTCATGGTGGGGATGGGAATAAGTCAGGGGCAACCTGACCCACTGGGCAACCAAGCAGAGAGAGGGCAGCTGAGAAATACTTGGGATACGCAGACGACTGCAGAGCTGGAAGACGGAGAGAGAGGCCTGTGAGGTGCAGCCTGTGTTTCTGGCTTATTTGCCGCCCGCTGAGACAGAGATGGGGAAGATGAGAGATGCAGGGGGATGGTGTTGAGTTCCAGGTGTCCACGGGTGGCAAGAGGGCACTGTTCCACGAGCACGGAGAAAACAAGTGGTAACAGTCTTCGAATGTTTGACTTTGACCTGGAATCTTGATAAAGATTCAGAAGGACAAATCATAGTATAAGGGAAAACTCTGTCGCTGCTGCTGATTTATTTAAGGCTGTGTTGTAGTCTTTACAACAACTGTGTCGGTTGTTAGTCTTTATGAAGGGAAGGGAGAGGCAACCTGTAGAGACCCATGCACCTGACTGAATCCCTGACTTAAAGTCCCTCACAAGTGCTCGTGGCCTCATACTCTATACAGCAATGCGCTTTCCGGAACTTTCATTAGTCCCGATCCTCGCAACATTCTCGAATGGAGACACCCCCTCTCACAGACCAAGACACCCCTGCCTAGGACAGGGGGCCCCAGACTTCAATCCTCGGATCCAAGTGGCAGGGTGGCACCGAGACCCGATCAGATTCTGTCCAGTGTTTCTCCTGCACCCATCTCGCCGCAGCCAGGCCCTCCCAGGGAAGCACAAGAATCCTGGGGTCTCTGAGCCCCACAGCTGCCAAACCCACAAACTTGCGTAGTTCCAAAGTCTGAACTTTAAATTGGGCAGGGACTGAGAGGTTCCCCAGGGCACGGAGCAGAGAGCTATGTGGCAAGGGACCAGGAGGCTGGTCCTCGAGGCTTTGGCCCTGGCCCATCCCAGCACAGTGTGTCTGCCGGTAATGAGCTCAGCACTTGCGGGCTCTGCTCTCCCAAGCCCTGGGTCAGGACACCTGGCAGCCTGCTCCAGCTACCTGCATGTGCTCATGCCACTGGGCAATAGGTACGATGAGGTAAGGACGATCCATCTAGCCTGTGGACTATTCTCATGAAATCTTCTTTAAACATATGAAAACTAGAATATCTGCTTGTGAAAGAGGACATAATGATACAAGCGATACTGGTTACCACGTACTGATTACTTACCATGTGCCAGGCTCTGTGCTAAGAGCTCTGCACGCCTCATCTCACTGGATCCTCAAAACAACCCCACAAGGAAACACTATGCTTATCCCTACTTTACAGGTAAGGGAGGTGAGGCTGAGAAAACTGCTAGCAAGTGGCAGCTCTGGGACTTGAGCCCTGGTGGGTCTGACTCCAAAGCCCACACTCACCTGCTCTGCCATCCAGCAAGGAAGTGGGCAAGCGGGAATCCTAGATCCAGGCATGTCAGGGAAATTGCAACAGAAGCTTCGGTCCTTTTATGCCCATCCCCTTTCTTTTAAAATAATTTGTGAAGCCTAAAATAAAATATTAAATGGTTCAAACTAGATTCGCCAGCCAATGAAATTGATATAATATTTACCTTGCAGAGTAACCCTGGGTCTGTCAGACTTCAGGGTTGGAAGTTGCTAGACAGAGTGAGGAAATGTTTTAGAGGTGACAGGGTACTAGAGGTCACCTAATTGAGTGGTTCCATTCACAGGAGAAATCTGACCAAGGTCATACAGCAGAATCGGAACAAAGGCAACAATCAAACCTGGATCCCTCACTCCTGTCCCACGGCTCCCAGTCCTGGTTCATGGCATCACCCTACCTTTCAGGAGGTCTAAAACTGGGGTGTGGAATTCGACAATTATTCTCAGAGACACTCGGTTTGCTATCTCGCGTGTGAGACACTGGCGGATAGAAGTCAGAGTGGTTTTCCGAGTGTATTGGGAAACCACCTCATACCCAAATATTCAGGAGATTTCAGGTTTTCCTTCTCCTGGCATGTCTGTAGGATCACCCAGGGCCAGTGGGGTGTGGGCGGATGTGACCCATGCCACTTCTGGGGCGGGGCATGTAACTGCTGGTATGAACACCTAGTGTGTCCTTCCCCAGCCATAACAGCTGGTGACGTCAGGATGGCGGAGGCTCCCTCAGCCAGGGTCTCTGAGCAGCTCGACATGGAACAGAGCCCCCTGAAAAGCTACAAAGGACATGGAGCATGAGAAAGAAAGAAACCGTCGTCATGGTAAGCCACTAAGATGATGTGTGTTACTGCAGCAAAACCTAGTTCATCGTCACTGACGCACCCAGGGAACAGCAGCTGCTCCCTGACGTCCCCTCCCATGCCCAGGGTGCAGAGTCAAAGCTGTCGGTTACCCGGAAGCATGGTATTTCCTAGACACAGACTTGTTTCTTTGGGGCCATAAGCCTGTGGCTCCATGAGCGGGTTCTAATTTCCATGAATGTGTGATGATCAGACTCTTAAATTGTCAGGAGACCCACTCCTCTCTGAGTAGCTCCTCTGA